CAGGGTGTGGGATCACAGCACCATTGCAAATGGGAGCATCTGCCCCTGGCCTGTGGCTGCTGCTCTCCAGACAGGCTGGGGTGTCCAGGACTGTCAAGGTGGCARCAAATCCCACCTCATACCATCGGTGGCTCAGCAAAGGAAAAAGCTTCCAGGGCCAGACTGTAACAAAATGCAGTGTGTGCCTTTAATACCCCTGCTCTACTCTGCAGCTCTGGAAGCCGTGGGGATGTTTCTCTCATCAAGCAGCAGAAGTTTCCAGCTGCTGGCCAGGGAACACTGCTGCCATTGTGGGGCTGCCCGAGATGCTTTTGCAATGCTGCTCCAGCCTGCGCTGCCCGGCTGCCGGCAGACAGACATTGCTTGTTTAATGACTTCCACSGAGTCTGTCATTGCAGCCCAGCTGAAAGGAATGGAAAAGCGTCTGCGTTTCTCTTCAGCAGCCGTGAGCAGACCTTGGAGTGTCTGCCTTGGCCTCCCTTTGCCTCTGCCCTCACCTCCCCATCCCTGGCTGGCCTGGCCCGGCGCTGCTCAGCCCCACACCAGTGCCCTGCTTTCTATCTGCTCTGCTCTAATTAATTAAGGGTTGTGCCTTGGAAATAGCACATGCTAAGGTGTGATCTTTGAAGTTTAGTGTGGTGCASAGACTTCAAAGGGGACATTTTATTAAAAAATAATAAAATCAAGAGCTCCTAAACACTTTCARTTTGAAGAGCTTGTTTGAAGTCTCTCCATGTTCTCTGGTGCTGATGGAGCCACAGTGCTGAGGTGCTCCTTAGGCGTCACCATGCAGTACTTAACCTTTACTTTATTTAAAAAGAAAATAATCAAATCCAGGGGTATTTTTGCAAGTGTTTTCGTGGCTTGATCTTAGCAGTAAAGAACTAATTGTGCCATGTCATGAGCTATGCAGGAAATGGAGAAAATCAAGGCTGACAATCAAATTAGCAAAAATGAAAATTTAGTCCAGATCTGTTTTTTTAATCAAAGTCATTTCAAGATGAACAGGAAAGCTGTAAACCTTTCCCAAGGCRGAGGTTTCCTTCCCTAGCCCAGGAGGCCCCTGGTGTCCCACTCACTGCACCAGGCATTGGTGATTTGGTGCTGCTGCCATCCCCCTGCTGCCTGGCCAGGCCCGGGCACTGGGCACATGCCCCTGCTGCCCCACGACTGCCCAGGCACTGGGCACAGAGCTGGCCATGCCCTGCTGGGAGCTCCTGCTGCCCCATCACTGCCCTGCTGGGAGCTCCTGCTGCCTGGGAGTTGCAGGACCCACAGTGCAGCTCCCCCAGATGTTCTGGGGCTCTCATGAGCTTGGGCTTTGCCTTGGGCCAGCAGAGCTGAGCCGTGCATCCCTGCCTGCAGCCCTGCACTCTCTTGTATGACATGAAGAAGCTGTGTGCACGTAGGGATGGTGTCTGCAGCTGGGGAGCACAGCTGGGGCAGCTGCAGGTTCCCATTGCAGCTGGCTTGGCAGGAGCTGGCAGGAAAGGTTGCTTTTATTTTGCCATCATCWGTGATTTGGTGTGGTTCCATCTGGGTCTTGGTGCACAGTAGCACAGAGCACACTCACTTTTACTGTTCAGGCTGCTGTTTAAATGTCTGCGTGCAGCAATACAGGAGGAGGAGGCTTAGCTGTCCATTGTGGAGGGTGGTTTGGTTTGAAAAGCTCACTGCCTTTTGTGGATGCATTGCAAACTATTTTAAAACAATTTTTTTCATACTTCTGAATGGCTTTCCCTGTACTGAGGGCTCAGCATAGCTGGTGTGTACAGGTGTCCTGTGCTGCCTTCCATTCAATGTTGGGTTTTTTGTTGGTTCTTAATTTTTAAAGTAATGCAGGAAAATGTTTTGCAAGGGATATWCTTATTTAAATATTTTTAATATCAGAATCTGAAAATTCAGGTGTAAAAGGCTATGCAAAAACAGCAGCATAGAAATCCAAAGCTGTAAAAGCTTATAAGAGAATTTAATGCAGAAACAGCTGTTATTTCCTTGGGAGCTGAGGAATAKAAACTCTTCCGTGGCTGTGTATCCCCACAATGGTGGTGTGAGGAATTAGCACTCACTGCAGTGTGCAAACGGAGCCTGCCAGGCTCTGAGGCAGCGATTCATCTGTACCCAGGAGCTAAATATGACAATGTTAGCATTTTTCATTTCCCTGACGTTACCATTAATAAAGCAATGATCCAAAAGAAGCTTTGCTGAGTCTGTTCTTTATGCTTCCATCACTCACGACTAGATAATTTCACACAGGATCGTTTTTAAATTAAATGACGATAAAAGCGCTCTGCTGTCCTGTGCTCACTAGTTCATAGAAGTCTATCAAGTCATTAATGTGTCATGACAAACTGTGAGTTGGATACAAGAGTAATTAATTATTTGCATAAATAACAGGTTGAACTTGGTGCTTTGAAGCACARTGCCACGTGCATGACTCGGTGGACATGCTGGAACCTCTGGCAGAGGTCACGGGAGGGTGAAGGCTGAGCTGAGCACGGGTGATCCCATTCTCACACACTCCAGCAGCAGSAGCTTGGAAGCTTTTGTGCTCCCTRGTTCTTCACTGATGGTTGCTTCAAGAGAGCATTTGATGTTTGGAGCTTTAGTGAACAATTATACAGATTTTCATAATCACCATTAATCACCACATATTTTTCAAGATAATTACAGCAACTATTACTTAGATTTCTCTTTTATGTGCACATTGTAGAAAAGAACAAGTGCTTATTACGCTGGGTAGTGTAGAGAACTACCGTCTGAAGTTCTTTGTCATCCAGAAACTCATTATGTTAGCTGATGCTGCCTGTGAAAGTTCGTCAGCATGTTTAAATTAGGGTAGCATTGGCAGCTCTGATTATTTAAATCTGGTAGCTTGGCTAAAAATATAGTTATTCAAGAAAGATGAATTACTAATTTGACAACTAAGATTTAGTTGGAGTCTGCAGCACAGAAGGCAGCATCTCTTGAGTGCTTAGAAGAGGGTGACAATACTTTCACAGATTAAAGAGAGGATTTCTGAGCAAGCTAGCAAGTTGGATTTRTAGAGCATGCTTTGGTGTTCTCCCYGTTAGAGCCTGAGAKCACGTTTTTAATAAATTGCAGTGAAGAAGGAGCTACCATGTAGAAGTTGGCTGTGATTCAGTGATTCAGTGGTCCTGCACATCCACTGCCCCTCACCGAGGCATCCATCCAGTTCCTGGCTGCTGTCAGAGATTCATGGGAACACTGTCCTTTGGGGCTGGGGTTTAGCAGGCTGGTTTTGGCCACTGGCTCCTTTCAGCCTTTCTTTTATTTAATTGCAGTGCCTGAGTTAATCTGCTGTGACCCTCAGGAAGGAGCAGATCCTGGGAGGCAGCAAACAGTTTTTCTTCTGGAATCCCGTTTTGTTCTGTTTTGAGGGAGAAGAGCTCAGGGACCTCCTTGACTTTTTGCAGGTGTTTTGGATATGGTGGCATTGAGAGACCCTGCTGGTGCTGGACACTCCAGTGCTGGGGCATCTGCTCAGCCTGGGAGCAAGGGAGGAGTGCTGCTCCCCACACATTGTCCCAGGGACCCCACTGCCTGCCTGCAGCCCCTTTGGTGGCCAAAGGGCTCCCAGAGCCCCCACGAGCCATGGGGTGAAGAGGTGAGGGCTGCTCCCCACACATTGTCCTGGGGGACTCCACTGCCTGCCTGCAGCCCCTTTGGTGGCCAGAGGGCTCCTGGAGCCCCCCATAGCCATGGGGTGAAGAGGTGAGGGCTGCTCCCCACAGATTGTCCTGGGGGACTCCACTGCCTGCCTGCAGCCCCTTTGGTGGCCAGAGGGCTCCTGGAGCCCCCCATGAGCCATGGGGTGAAGAGGTGAGGGCTGCTCCCCTCCTGGTGCTGGGGCAGGGGGTGGCAGTGGCTGCCCAGGGCTTCGTTTCTGTACAATTTCCCAAACTGGTGGTATTTAAAGCCTCGTGACACTGGTGCCTGGCTGTGAAAGGAGACGCTGAATGAGCACCTTGTTTTCTGCTTTCTGCCTTTAATGCATTTTAGCAGCAGGCTGGTGACGGGCCTGACACGCCAGCTTCGCACACGCTCCTGCGCTTGGGGAGTGCAGCATTAATAACACACTTCCATGCATCATGCCATTTTTAAGCATGATCGTTATGATAAAGGGCATATACTTAATTACAGGCCTGCTTAATTACAGCTCTGTTGAAGCTCGTTTGTTTAGGAGAGTGCTAATTGCACTGMGGAGCCTTTGGCTCACCCTGCTTTTATCTGCTGCTTGGCTGTGTGGTTGGAGCTCGGGGTGGGCTGGAGCGCAGGGCTGAGGGACAGTGGGGATTGCAGCTCGGGGACGAGCAGCTCTGCCCAGCTCTGCCTTTAGATTACCTTCCCAAAGCTGGCGTGTGGCTGATCAAAGTGGGCTTCTGYCGGATAACAAATGCAGATGGTCTTTCAGCTTTTAAACTTCCTGGATTTGGTGATGCTGCYTTTCATYTGTTTCCTTTTGTTTGCACTGTGGYTGCCACACAGCACCTTTSATAACAAAATTACTTCAGTGGAGGGGGTTTTTAAAGCAAAAATAAATGAAGCAAATGTACAATGCTGAGTATTCTTAAATGACCCAGCTGTTCCTTACTTTCTTGCTCAGACACCACCAGTGTGCTTGAACTGGTCTGGTGAGGAGATGGTTAATAGAATCGTGTTCTCCGTCCAGTTTTAAATACTGTCCYGCTTTGCCAGCTGCACAGAATTGGAAAATGCAAAATTGAGGCCATGAAATTGTATATGGATAGAGCAGGGAGAATACATTGGTTTTCTTGTTTGGTAGGGACTGACCCAGCTGTATCTTAAATGGAAACAAACCTCTGGCAGTTTAAAGGGAAGCAAAGGCTGGCAGTAATGGTTAGGAGCAATCAGTCATGTGTCASTGCTGTGAATACTTGATCTGTCACTGGGAATGTGTGAAGCTGCATGTCAGAAGTCAGCTGGAAAYGTCACATGTGATGTCTTCTCCCTTTCAGCAATGGATGGAGTGCCTTTTATGATTTCGGAGAAGTTTGCCTGTGCTCCTGAAGGGGTGAGTTACCTTTGTTGTTCTCCCAGTGCCTGAAATTAATTGTTCTACAGAGAGAGATCACGAAACATCGAGACAAATTAGATGCTTCTGGGTGCTTTTCTGTTGTGGGGCCAAATACACACCAAGTGCTTGAGATGGGCCAAGGTTGCATGTCACCATAGCTGCCCGTCTGGCAGGAAAGGCTTTTGCCACATTGCTTCTRAAACTGAATTGTCCTGCGATTTCAAGGTTTATTACCATCAAAAATAGGAATGGCAGTGGGACTCTCTGGTGCTGAAAGCAATTCTTATTTCTTAGCATAGATTTTAAAGAAAGTTGCAGATGTGAAGTTGTCCTGGTTTAACCTGCTGTGGGGATGTTAGTGCCATCAGCTGCAGTGAGGGTCCTGCCTGGCTAAGGGTGAGCTGGAGAGGCACTGAGTGTGTCTGCTCTGCCCCGGGCACTGCAGGGCCACACCAGTGGAGCATCTGCCAACAGCACGGGCAGGGCACCTCTGCTTTGCTGAACCAGAAACTGGTACTGGTTCAGAATGATCTCTGAGCGTCACTGGGTCGTGCTTCTTAAAGTTGATGATCCAGAGCTCAAAGATTCACCATCCCACTACCAGTTCCCAAGTCCATTCAATCCTAAAGCAGCATCTCTTTAAAAATCAATTTACARGAAGCTGTTAAGGCAAACACTGAGCCATCAGCTGTGTCTGAATTTTCAGTAGTGCTCCAGYTTTGTGCTTTCTTCTTCCTGCTGATAGGGGTTTTTCACAGCCCTTGCTTTCTGGGAGGACTGTGTATAGGCCGTTATTCCCTGGAAGCTGGAGTCCCTGCTGCGAGGACAAATGCAGAGAGATTAGGTCGTGCTAATCCTCCCTGCGGATCCTTTAGACACCATTGCCACCATATGGTCAGTTCGGTCAGGTTCCTGCAGCGGGTGCTGCTCACACCTCTGTGCTGTGGCCATGGGATTCCATCCCGTGTTACAGACTGTGTCCTGCACTGGGGAGGTGGTGACAGAGCCACATGAGCAGAGTGACACAGAGGTGAGTGGCAGCTTTCATGCTGTTCTCCCCACCCAGCGAATGCTGCTTTGCTCTCCTAGTGAATGAGGAACAGGATCATGCCTGTGTTTACAGATGGKACCTCTAAATCTAGTGATAGAGTGTTTGCTGACTTTAAACAGAACAAAATAACAAACTCACTCCCTCGCCACTAAACCCTGAACTTGACATTTTTGTTTCTTTCTTGCCAGATGCAGCCAGTTGATCTCTTGGGTATCACAATCAAAACCCTGGCAGAAATCGAAAAGGAGGTGAGTAGCCAGCAAGTCATGAGGGCTCTGTTCACTTCTTTTTAAGATCAGTGTTGGAGTGTTGGGGACACCAGCACTGGAATCATTTGTGGGCCCGGGAGGAGAGGTCGATACCTGGCGGCTCTCCCACAGCTCCTGCTCTGCAGCAGGCTGTGTGCGTGCCAGCGTAATGAAAAGTATGATTATGCAGCCCATATTCCTTGATGAAGCATCTTGTCTGCACATAGAGAGTTACACATATAAATATTGTGAATTTCGGCATGCCTTTATTTCCCTTGCAAGCAATAGCACCATTACAGCAAATCTTCTGGATATCCAAAGCAGCCAGAACATTCTCCCTGGAGCGAGATGCCTTGCAAAAAATATTCCCAAAGAATTCCAAGAATTACTGTTCTCTGTCAGTACATTTGCAGATGTATGCACCCATCCTCCAAGCTGCAGGCAGCTGAATTTCAGGACTCTCTACCCTGTCAGTAAAATGATGGAAATGGGTGCAAATCCTGCTCTGGTTGTCCCCAGGATGGCACAGCTGTGCCTGGGGGAGTGCACAGAGCTGGTGCTGGTATGAGGAGGTGGTGAAGTGCAGATGTCAGGAGCACGTGCYGTCAATTCATGGCTGGTTTAGTGGATTAGGATGGAGAGAAGTGCAGTGCTGGCAGTGCTGCTGCAGGTTTGTCCTTGCTGTGCTGCCTGTCCTGGCTGGGCAGTGTCACCTGGACACTGYGGTCACTGTTCACAGCCTGTGCTTCACTGAGGGGCACTGGACACTGCGGTCACTGYTCACAGCCTGTGCTCTGGCCCTTGTCTTCCTTCCAGCTTGGCGTGGTGTGAAAAGTCTAGAGAGAGTCTAATTAGTAAAGGGAACATCCAGTATTCATCATTCCTTTTAAACTGATAAGGAAGGCAGTTCATTTAACCACTGAACTGCTACGAGTTTTCATGGGCTGCTCTTCACAAATATATTTAATGAAGAAGTTGTAAATCTAGAGGAGCTTAAAATTTTAATTTTACACAGAAATATTTTTCCTTGTTTGCACGTTTGTAGTCAATTCTCCTGAGTGCAGTCACATGAAATGTTCTTTAAATGAACATATTTGCTAACTGGCATGATTTCAGATTTTAAAACATTGGTTCCAGCAATTAGGAGTTTCCTCAGTTCCCCAATGACTGGAGAGATTCGTCTTGATTATAATTGCTCTTAGCCACGCATATCTAATTTGTGTCTTTTTAAGTGTTAATTAGTAAACAGTTTGAGCTGACATCTTTATGCGTTTGGGTGTTGAAAAATGAGGCCTATTGCGTGCCGGCGGCTGCGGCATCGCGACAGGGAGATGCGGCCGCGGGGGAAAGGAGAAAAGGCCCCGGTACAGTCCCGGTAC